TAAAATCAAGGCCTTGCTCTAATTGTTCAAATCCTTGAAATAAATTGTTTACTTTATCCATTTTTTAGCCTTTTTTTGTCACTGTTTTATTGGTTGAACAAGTCATCTCCAAAATTGTCTCATTACATACCTCTAACAATAAAAAATGTTTGAGCACCCTTCTCAGGAGGTATTGTGATTACATTTTAGTTATAATTTATTTGTAAGAACTAATATTGATAATATATATAGTATATATACAAATATATACAAAAATACACAAAAAACAATGCTAAAGGATAAGATAAAGAATAAAAGTACAATTTCTAGTATTTTCTTTCTACTATTCATCTTCTATGTACTCTACTGCTCTACTTACCTCCACAATTTTGAAAACTCTGGTATAAAGTAAACTGATAGCTGAACAATCTATAATAGAGGAGAACCAAACATAGTAATGAGCAAATTAATCTTCTTACAGCACCTCAAACATACCCCCCTCCCTCCCTCTCTCTCTCTCTCTCTCTCTCTCTCTCTCTCTCTCTCGCTATATATATAAATGTATATATATATTATTTTTTAATTAGTTTAATTAGTTATATATGACAGCAGAATGTACTTTGATACATCATATATAATAGAGTATAATGTCTCATTCTTCTGGTTGTACATGGTGTAGAATAGTTATATATATGAAGAGAGAGAGAGTTCTACTATTCTTCTTACCCCCATACCTCCTGCCTTCCCTTTACTCCCCTCTACCTAAAGTAATTCTACTCTTCCCTAGCACCCTCCACCCATTGTCATCCAGCCTTTATTATTTGAGGATTGGATTATTTTACATATATTTTAGTTGTAGATGAACACAACACCTTTGTTTTATTTATACATTTTTATGTGATACTGAGGATTGAGCCCAGTGTCTCACGAGTGCTAGTTAAGTGCCCTACCACTGAGGTACAACACCAGCCCTATGTCTATGTTTTAAGTTTTCAATTCTAAATTTTATCTAATTAAATCATTGTTTCCATTGGATACACATAGACCATAATTGTTACTTGCAACAAAGCAACATAATTAAAAACAATGTGAAGGAGCCATATCTCAGAAATTCCTATTGCGGGGATATTGCCCTTGTTATTAAACTTTTGGTATCCATGTTCAATTATTGATATATCTTCTTCAGAGAAGGGATTTCCTCTATTAGGGGTTTGTGTGCATATGTGGAGGGAAGGAGTTAGAAAATTTCACCTATTTTTATCTCTATTTCGTACCTAAAGAGGCTACTCTTTACAAAAAATAAAAAAAAACTGTTGGATTGTATTTATGATAATTTACTTTTGCTTTCTCTTCACAAACAGCCCCAGGAAGTAGGATCACTTATCATTTTTATTTATCAAATGAGGAAATTGAGGCACAAAGGGTTTGAGGTCATAGTTTATTACCTTTTACGTGAATTCTTAGTGTTGCCTAATTTCCAATATAGATTTATTTCAGATTGCTCTAATAACAAATGCAAAATGGGATTTTGTTTCTTAGAGTTTATGTCAAATATATTTTAATTATTTGAAGCTGGTTACCCTGAAGGCCAACTCATTATCAAATACAATATCTCAGTAATCAGAATCCTTTAATTGATCAAGTCAGATGTCAGAATACAAACATTGTCAACTTCTGCTTTTTTTCACACCCTAGTCTCATTAAGTGACCAATTAATAGCAGCTATTTTTAAAAATCATTCATTACTCTTGTACATACTTCTCAGTGGGTGCTACTAGCTTTTGGAGAAAGAATTCTCATTTTGCAGCAAGTACATCTCATCTTGCAATACCTTCAGCCCTCCATGTACTAAATGCTAGTAATGCCTTTTCCAGGTCATAATTTTATGATGCTCTAGGATGAAGGTAATACCAAAGTTGAGAACCACTGTACCACTGAAGGACTCAAGACCACAAACAAACCAGACACTCAAGTATTGAGTTCATAAATCAACTTAATAAATACTTAATGAGTATAAATAAAAACAAAATACCCATGGAAAGTGACATTTCTCTGGCTAAACTTTATAGATATTGCTTCTTCTTTAGCTTCAATATAATTGATTGATAAATTCCATAATTCTTTTAAAAAATAATAATCCAGCCATAGAGGGTCAGCAACTTGAGCAATTGGAAAAACCAGACCTAAATTATTTCACACCAAATCCTTAAGCTTAATTTCTTATAGATGAAGGGACAAGGAAATTCCAACCAAAAAGAATTTCAGTTTTTCCTAAATGAATTGTGAAAACTTAAGAGCTTAAGCACTACAGTGCTTCATGCTTTTTCTATTGACATGACTGACCTTAAGAAGAAAAATGACAAGGGATTATTCTCACATAATACAATATCTCAGCTGAATATGTATCCTTGTACAGCAGTTTTTCTGTTTTGTTTTTCATCTGTAAAAAAAAAAAAATGAGAGCTCCTGATGGAAGACACACCACAATAAATGAAAGACCTTTCTAGCCATGGTAAAGAAGCATAACAAAGCCATTATGAATGATGCAGCAAGTTGAGGGAAGGGAAAGCTGCTATTAAACATGACAGGCTGTCACAACCACAGAAACAGTAATCAGTGTAATCATAGCAATAAAATAATGTTTGTATTTAGTTCCTTTCAAGGAGCTAAAATAATGACATCTTTTCTAAGTTGGAAGTTTTTGATAACGTTAGCAAAAATAGCAAAAACATAAAAATCTCTAAATGTGTAGCATATTAACACTATTTGGAGTTACTGTTCTACATACTTTTGTTATTTTACTTTAAACTTCCTTTAAGATTATTTTTATCCTTCCTTCCTTGTTCTGCATGACCAAATTATTCTTTTTCTTTATGATAATATTTCTTTCTTTCTTTCTTTCTTTCTTTCTTTCTTTCTTTTTTTTTTTGAACTCAGAGATACTTTACTACAGAGCTACATCCCCAGCCCATTTTATTTATTTATTTATTTTTATTTAGAGATGGGGTCTTGCTAAGTTACTAGGGTCTTGCTGAATTGGTAAAGCTGGCCTTGAAATTGGGATGGGATTCTCCTGCCTCAGCCTCCTGAGCCTCTGTGACTATAGGCATGTGCCACTATACCCAGCTATGATAATATTCTTGAAACCTAATTTCTTGATTTTAATAAATCAAATATCAGATAAAATGGATTTTTTTTATTTTTTCAGAGCATATAATTAAAACCTGAATGTCTTATAATTATTTTCCCTATTATAACAATAGCATTTCTATTGTAATCTTATGCATGCCATATAAATGTATGATAAGCTTACCTCCATCAGATACTCAGCAAAAGCCTTCAATGGTTATAAGGTTTTCCCAGACAATGATGAAACATCATAATGTGGAAAATGCCTTATATGGGAGACACTGCACACCAGTTTTTGTATTCTGTGATAAATATTCTACACAGTCACAGGGAGAACTAAGTTCCACTGTTTCTTCAAAGTTACCTCAGAGAACCTTCTGGCTTACCCCTTGGTGCTTTCACTACTTCTCTTAATGTTGAAGGGTTTCTAGCTCTGCCTGATAGGACCAGTTTACTATGAAATGTATGTCTACAGTATGTCATTTTCTGTCTATGCTTTCTTTATTACAGTGTATAATATACGGTCACCACCTATTAAAATGTACAAACGTTGCCCTTTTATACAAATACCTCTGAAGATCCAACAGATTCTGGCTTTTCTTTATCAAAAGACTTTCTCTATAGAAGAAAGAGTGTGGTCTACTTGGTCCCCTTAGTTCTGATCTAAGTTCAAAGATGCTCCAATACTAACTTATTTTGTGCAGAAAATTTTGGTTGAGAAACAGAGTAGTGTCTTCAACAAACCCAGGATTTGCTAAATCTCACCCCAGCATACAATCTGTGATGGTGCTCAGCCCAATGGGCATTTCCGAGGGCCCAGATGAGATAGATGCCTTCCAATCATCAGTGTAATTTGCTTTTAGGGTCCTATTGTGATCGTACCTTAGATTGGCCATCTCCATTATCAGTGCTGTCCTTTCACTGATATCACATATATATTTGATTTACTTCCAAGTGATTTCAACACCTTTCAACTCATTGAGATGCCAAATGATAATGTTATTATTTCAAAATGCAGTATTTCTAACTCATATTCAAAGGATATCATAATCTTTCAAATAGGAAATGGTTCGCTGTTCATTTTCACTCTATAGTGGAGTTTGATCCTGTTGTTTGTCAGTAATGTGACATCACTTCCCATGTCCAGGCCTCAGTTGTTCATTTGTATAATGAGGGTTTTGGATGATCTCTAAAGTTCTTTTTAGCTCTAATATTCTTTTATTCCATGTTACATCTTATAATTTTATGGATAAATTTCAAAACAGTTCACTATTTTTTTCACCTCACATAGCCCTCCTAAAAATGAAAAACCATACGGTTCTACCTTTGCAAACTCTGATGTCTTGTCCCTAACAGAAAACAAACTAAGAATTGTGCATGTTGATTGTCTTATTCTTGTTTCAAAAACATGTGTGATTACCATATGAATAAAACTGCTTCTCATTTTAGGCACTAATACTGATACACCTAAAGCAAAACACTGTTAATTTTGAAACAGCATAGATCACAGATTCCATCGTGGCTGTTTTCTGCATGTTTATAACTCATATATGAGCATGAATTCTGCAATTAAACAATATAAATGGCTGACATTGTGTCTACCTGGCCATTCTGTAGCATGACTTTCCATTCTAAATGTAGATTTAAAAATTTAACTTATCATTCTGATGCTAAGTTTCTAAACCCTGTTTAATTGTAATAAGAGCTTTCTTTCCAAGAAACTAAGCTATTTTTAAATTTATGAGTAAGAAATATGCATTACATTTCTTTAATTTCATAGCTTCTTTATAATGTTTGATGTCTTTGTTGATTTTAGGTTTTATTTCAAGTGAATTATCAACCACTTTTTATATAGTCGACTTGGACTAATGCCAATTTTTATCTCTTAAAAGGATCCTTCCCGGCCATTGGGGTGGAGGCGTTTTGCCCCAGCTTCCTGAGGGCAGGATTTTTAAATAGCATCCAGGCCCCGCATCCAGTGCCAGGGGGAGGATCTTTGCCCCCCAGGATTCCTGCTGGTAGGTATTTCAGGTGAAGTTTCTGCCACTGTGTATAGCACTAGGACTGTGCTAACAGGTGATAAACCTGCAATACAAAAATGAGTGTTTCTAAAATATGATGTAGAGAAGAAATGCAACTATCTCTTTATAATGTACCAACTATGCTTACAGTACCTAGTACTGTGAAAATAAAGAAAGTGGAAAGAGAATATGGACCTCAAATATCTGACCAGCCTAGCATTGTCATTGGGGGAAAGTTTTGTTTTCATAAATAAGAAGTAGAATTCAGATCATTAATCTATAACTCAAGAATGAAACAGGGGGACTGGGGCTGGGGCTGGGGCTTAATGGTAGAGCACTCGCCTGGCATGC